CATACTTCTTTATTACTCTACTTTGCTGCAATGGACATGTTACAGTTGACTGGTAAACAGCAGGAACCAGTTGTTCCCAAATGGCACCTTCTTGCATTGAAGTCTCACAATGATTCTCTCTTTCAGATCTATCTTACAGGGAGAATGACTATGTAAGACTGTTACTCTTTTTTTTTTATTGAAGTATGGTTCATATACAATCTTATTTTGGCTTCAAATGTACAACACAATGGTTCAACAGTTACCCATGTTATTTACCCCTTACCCCCTCTAGTGTGGTTACCATCTATCAACATAGTAAGATGTTACAGAACCATTGACTATATTCTCCATTCTGTATTACTGTCTCGTGACCAACTTATATTGCGATTGTGAATTATTATGCCCCTTTATCTCCCTCACTGTACCCCACACCCCAACCACTTTCCCTCAGTAACCACTAGTCACTTCTCAGTGTCTATGAGTCTAATGCTGTTTTTTCTTTCTGTTTTGCTTTGTTTTCGTACTCCACAAATAAGTGAAATCATATGGTATTGTCTTTCTCCACTTGACTTATTTCACTGAGCTTAATACCCTCTAGATCCATCTATGTTGTTGCAAATGGAAGGATTTCTTTTCTTGTTATGACTGAATAATATCCCATTGTTTATATGTACCACATCTTCTTTATCCATTCATATATTGATGAACACTTAGATTGCTTCCCCTTTGTTAAGTTTTCAGTAAATAAAACCCCACAGAAAGTGATGATGTGGGCTAAGACAGCTGCTTTGAGCTGAGTTCCACCCTAGACAAAGCAAAGAATGTAGTGGAACTCTGATCATTGCCTTTATATTGAGTGTCATTGTTGTGCTAGTCACTGTGCTCAGACATGGGCACCCAAGTTAAAAGTATCTGCTTTCAAGTGAAATGAGTATCTTGAAGAGATATCTGCATGCCCATGTTCACTGCAACATTATTCACAACAGCTAAGAAATGGAAACAACCTAAGTGTTGATAGATGAGTGGATAAAGAAAATATATGTACATATACATACATGCATACACAATGGATATTATTCAGCCTTAAAAAAGAAGGAAATCCTGCCATTTTTGACAATATGGATGGACCTGGAGGACATTATGCTAAATGAAGTAATCCAGACACAAAAAGATGAATACTGCATGATCTCACTTATATGTGGAATCTAAAAATGTCGAACTCATAAAAACAGAGTAGAATGGTGGTTTCTAGGGGTAGGGGTGGTGGAAATGGAGGGCTATTAGTCAAAGGATACAAAGTTTCAGGTATGCAGAATGAATTAGTTCTGGAGATCTAATGGACAACATGGTAATTACAGTTAATAATACTATATTTTATACTTACAATTTTCTAAGTTGATCTTAAGTGTTCTCACCACACCAAAAAAAAAAAAAATTGTAACTGTGTGAGGTGATAGATGTGTTAATTAGCTTGATTGTGGTAATCATTTCAAAATATATACATACATCAAAACATCAGATTGTACACCTTAAGTATAGTTTTTATTTGTAAATTTTAAAATTACCTGCTTTCCTCTAAATGGACAGTCTAGAAGGGGAAGAAGACACATAAGCACAGTGTCAGTGTCATAATCTGAATATAGTAATTAAGTTAAACACAGTTGCTATGGGAGAACAGAGGAGGACACCCAAGCTAACCTATGGGTAAGAATGAGGCCTCAGAAGTTTTCTTGGAGTACTAGAGCTAACAACAGTGCCTGGCTCAGTGAAAGCGCTCAACAAAAGCTATTACTACTATGGCAATAGACAATATGACTGCCCTCAAGGAGCTCAGGTGTAGCTAGGGGAAAGTACCAATACATAACTGTAATAATATGTGATATGCACTTAATGAGCTGTTGAGGACAGAAATGAATGATAGCCCACATTCAGTGAATGCCACCTGTATGCCAAGCAATGTTCTAAGAACATTATACATAATTCCTTCATTTAGTTCCCACAACAACCTTATGTTTAATTTCATTTCCCTCATCTATAGGTGAGGAAACTGAGTCATAGAGAAGTAACTTGCCTAAAGCTAGGTTGGTTAGAACTAATGAATGGTGTTAAGTAGTCACACATGAGAAAGACAAAAAAAAAAAAAAGAAAAGAAAAGAAAAGCAGCTCCTGACATCAGAAAGCGGGCCTGACACTCACAGGTAGGTCATGTTGTTCTCCTGTTGGACATGAATAATCTCACAAAATACCAACATTAGGCATGTTTACTCTGAGAACATGATAAACTGTGACAACAAAAAAAGTTCACTTCATAATTTAGTCTGAGCACAGACAAAAACAAGGTCACTGTGCCACCCACAAAAGCTTTATCCCCACTTGAGTCTGCCCTCCTATCAATAGTATTTACTAAGATGCTCAATAATAGAATTGCCCTTGCTTTTTCTGAAAGCATTCAATACAGAATAAAGCGCCACTTTTTTAGACTCTCCCCTAAACTTACCCAACCAAAACCCAAATCCTGTAAGTCCTCTCTACCGCCCTTTTACTCAAGACACTCCATGATTCCCTCCCTATTGTGTTAGTATGCTAGGGATATGTCTTGCCAATGGATTTCAACCCCAGACAAGTTCACTACAGATTCAGTGAGACCAAAGAAATGACAGTAGAATGTTCTTGGAGTGAAAGTGTTATACCCAACTTTATTTCCACAGTGCAGGTCAATCCTAGAATCCTGTCCACTCAGAGCGAGTCTGCATGCAACAAGCAGGTCTCTGCCTCTGGGCCTTTCTGCCCGCACAGCTGTCTCAATCTCTGTCCTCGGTGTTGCCACCACTCCAGTCTCATCTCTGCTCTCCTGCAGCCATGCCACCGTGTCACCCAGAGCACTGGGCAGAGTTCTTTATACAGAGTTAATAACAACGTATTGCCCACATGTGTGTAGTGAGCCAGCCCACCAGGGCCAGGTGAGAATCCTGGCTACAGGAACCTTCACTTAATCTACAGGCTGCCATTGCAAAATACCACAGCATGAGTGGCTTCAACAACAGAAGTTAATTTTCTTATGGTTCTGGAGGCAGGAAGTCCAAGATCTAGGTGTCAGCATGTTTTGTTTCTCCTGAGACTTCTCTCCTTGGTCTTCAGATGGCTACCTTCTCACTGTGTCCTCAAGTGGTCTTTTCTCTATACCCATGTACCCCTGGTGTCTCTTTGTATGGATTTTCTCCTTTTACAGGAACACCAATCAGATTGGATATGGGCCCACCCTAACCAACTCATTTTAACTTAACCACCTGTTTAAAGACCCTCTCTCCAAATACATCACATTCTGAGATATTGGGCATTAGACCTTCAACATATGAATTTGAAACCCATATGATTTCAGCCCTTCTTTGTGGCTCAGTTTTCTCACTTGTACAACAGGAGTGATAAAATTGTGTTTATTGTGTGGATTAAATAAAATAATTTGCATAAGTTGTTCAGCAGAGTGCCTGGTACATAATAAGGACTTCAATAAGTGTCAATTATTTAAGGATGAGTTATTATTCATGGATGAATTTCATAAATATAAAATGTGAGGGGGATAAAAACAAGAGTGTTGGAAGAAGGTGGAATGGCAGAAACCAAGACATGGAGATGAGTAATTGTAAAAGGATTCCCTGTGCCCAGACAGAAACTTTATTGCTCAGTTGTGAGAGAGCCATAAAGAATGCCTCAAACATGATAAGGCACCCCAGACCTTGTTGGCAGTGGAATATCTAGAACATTTGTCTCTTGTACTTTGCCTGGGAAAGGAAATAACCCTCCCCTAACCTGTGCTGTTTCTGGGGAAGGGTTGTGTGACAGGCTCTAGAGGTTCTGTTGAGGATGATAGTAAGAACACATCAGGTCTCAAAGTCTGAGCCTTGAGAGGAAAATGAGGCTGCAGCTCTGGCAGCAGAAAAAAACTGAAATTGGACCCTGCCAGACTGGAGAAGCTATGCATTGACAATGGCTTGCTGGAGCAAGTGCACACAAAGTAGCTTAGCTCCCCCTTACCACTTCCATTCTAGCACCAACCTTTCCATCTCTTATCTTGGCTCCTGGTGGTGGTGGTTCAGGCCCCAACCTTATATTCCAGGGCTCCAGGAATGCTAAATGGTCTCCCCTTCTAAGTTGTACTTGAATCCCTTGCTGTTCCCTGTTGGGTTTCCAGGAATTCTGAAGGGAAATAAACACCTAAGGGATTTCTCAGTGACAGCAGTCAGGCGGATCTCTTTTCCTTCCCAGCATATTCAGGTTCCGGTTCTCTTTCTCTATGTATTCCCAAAATCATCCCTTTCCAATCTCTGGGGAACGGCCCTTAGTCCAGCCCTTCCAACATGACCCACCGTCCTGAGGGTGGGCTCTGAAGTTAAGGGTAGGTAGAGGCTGAGCGGTTAGATGCCTGATGGAGGAAGCCGTTGAAATATTCTTCCCCAAACTTCAGAGCTCCCCTCTCTGTGCACACAGTGCCCTAAAAGGCGTGGGAGAGTGGTGTCCAGCTGCTTGTCGACCTGGGGAAGAACTGGTGGGTGGCGCAGGGGACTGGGCTGGCTGCAAGAATGCAAGTGGGGGGCGGGGTGGGGTGGGGAAGGGGGGTGCGCGCCCTTTATGACAGGTGGCCGCGCAGTGCGCGCTCCCGGGCTCCTGAGGGGAGGGAGGGACAGACGGACAGAGTGGGAGGGGGCATACGGGTAAGGGACAGTTGGGAGGGTAGAGAGAGTGGGAGGGAAGGGGAGGGCTGTGGTGGGGAAGAGAGGTAGAGCGGGGGAACGTGTTCAGCAACAACAGCGGTGTTGGAGGAAACAATGGCAGGGGCAACAGCGATGGTGACAGCCGAGGCAGTCCCACTCTGGGCACCTTTCTGAATGGGCAGAGGCAGCTCAGGGAGAAGAGGAGAACAAGCAGAGACCGCAGAGGCTCTGAGAAAAGCGGCGGAGGGAGGAGAAGGGGGAGGAGGAGGAGCAGAAAGTGGGGGGAGGAGGGGGAACGAGGCAGGGGAGAACCGGGGAAAGAAAACCAGTAGCAGCAGCCGCCGCTGCCGCCGCCACCGCCACAGCAGTAGCGGTAGCGACAACAGCAGCCTTTAGCACGATAGCGACAGCAACAGCCGATCTCCTCTCTCCCTCCCGCGGACGGCCGCAGCCGCCGCGCGCGCAGCCGGCTGGCGAGGGAGCCTGGTCCGCGAAGCGCGGATCCCGGGAGGAGCCGGCGGCCACCCAGGCGCTGAGTTTCAGGGCCAGAGCCCCACAGCTCTGACTCCCTCTAGCGCGGCGGCGACGGCGGCGCCTGAGGGAGGGAGGCGCGTCCACCTGGCGGGCCCGGCGCATGGAGCTGAGGCAGAGGCGGCGACGGCGACGGCAGCAGTAGCAGCGGCGGCGGCGGCAGCTCCAGCGGTGGCGGCGGCAGCCCAGCCCTGACTGCGGCCGTGTTCGCTCCAGCGCCCGCTGTCTGAGCCCGCCGGCGCCTTGCGCCTTGGGAGTCGGCCTGTGAGGTGAGTCGGAGCGCTGCCATCCAGCCCGGGGGCCTTCTCGCGGCTCTCTGCGGCCGGCTCCGGGTGGCGGCGGCAGTGGGTGGAACGAACTGGGCGAAGCCGAGCGAGAGGAGGAGGAAGAGAAAAGGGAAGGGAGGGCTTCTGTGTGAGAATGGCGAGCGTCTGTGTGTCTGTGTACGAGGAGAGAGGCCGCCAGGGCGACAGAGCCCGGATGGCCCTACCAGGCACTGCAATCTAGGAAAGGCCTCTGTGCTTGCGCCCGGGGGGAGGGGAAGCGAGCGGCCACAGCCGTCGTGCTCTCCCGCGCGCAGCCGGGCAGCGGGAACCAGCAGAGCGCTGCCGCCTCTCATGCTGGTGCCGGAGCGATCCGGGCCAGCGAACCGGTATAGACGCCTCACGCTTCAGCGCCAGCGGGAAAACCCACGGAGCGGCCGAGACCCGGCGCCCGGGCCAAAGCCGCAAAGGTGCGAAGAGCCGGCGCCTCCAGCGCGCGCGATGCTGCCGTGCGGACCACCGAGCGCGCCCAAACACGCGTCCCCGGTCCAGGGCTGCGGGCAGGTGCGACTCGGGGACTCTCCGGAGCCTCGCCCAGCTTGTCACCTTTGCGGAAATTGGCCCGGGGCCCCTTCCCGCTCTCGGTGGCAGTCGAATTGATGCTTTCCTGTGTGGCTTCTGGCGTTTCGCTCCGACACTCTCCGCAGCACATGTCCGTTCGGTCTCGCACCCCCGGGAACAAGAGGGAGGTGGGGAGCCGGCGGGGCTCTGGGAAAGTGTGGGAAACGCGCCACTGAGTTGGAGCCTTTCTGCTGAGGAATCCAGTGGTTTCAGCATGACTGCTACTGTCTGTCTGATTCGTGAGGGACCGAATCACCCGCGCAAGGCTTTCTGTCTTGTTAGAACTTAAAAAAAAAAAAATTTTGGCATACCCATTTCGATACGGGTACAGTTTATTTTTGTCGAGCTTCTGCTTATAGTAATACGTTTTGGAAATAAGTGGGTTTCATATTTTGCTTCTGGGGTTTGGCTCCCAGCATATCTTTGAATTCTGTGCACAGCAGTATACTGAGTTAAGTGGCCTTTTCCTAACGTTCCATTTTCTAGACAGTATATGAAAAAAACATGGTTTGTGTGTAGCGTTGCCAGGGCTATTTTTACAAAGCATCAAACCACTTTAACCCCGGATTTGAATATCTCCTCAGTTGTTAGTGTAAGAGGAGCAGCAGGGGCTGACAGTTCCTGAAACATTCGGTTTGGTGAGAAAAGGTGCTCCCATGGTGTTCTCCGAACTACAGAGACCATTTGAGTTTGAGGGGATGAATCTCCCTTACGTATTTTACACATAGGGCAACATAACCAAACGTTTTGTTTACAGCAATGACGTTCTTGTGACTGAAGATAATTTACACTTATTTAAAATATATTTTCAGAAAGGAACAAAAAAGCCCTAAGTAACTGTCATTTTACACATTAACTGGGAAACCTGCTAGTCAGATTAAACTGGCTGAGGGTCTGAAACTATCCCAGTGAAATATGTGGCTGTGAATATAATTAACCATCTGTCTAGTGAGCAATTTACATTTGGATTGGCACATTTTAAATACTGGGTCTAATTTCTGAAAGAATTGTACCTTTTACCCAGCAGTAACAACAAAAACGTATTTGCTTACTAGGTCAAAGATTTACTTGTGTGGTAGTGGGATTCCTTTCCTCTTGCCCTCCTCCCCAGCCCACCTCATTTTTCCTACTCCCCACACTCTTTGACCTGAGAGGTCAAAATGAGCCTCTTGCTTTTGCAAACAGCATATTTACAACACAGGAACTCAAACTAGCTATGGCAGCTAGTGATTAGACCTTTTTGTTCCTTGAAAATACCTTCCAATATTTTACCTCCCACAGAACCCAGGTAGATTCCATGCATTTGAGCTGAAAAAAATGTAATTTTTTTGTGCTTATGTGTGTTCAGATGGAGTAGAGTGATTCAACAAAATTTAAGACTTGGAATTTGACTTAGTTTCACTTATTCTAATTATCTAACTAGCTCTCCTGTAGCTGTCTGAACTGCCCTTCCACACCCCACAGACACACACTCAAACATGCAAAACATCATCTCCTTTTGTCCTTCTAGTCAGTTTTTAGGTTAACAGTATTCAGATCTGTGAATTTAAGAATATGTTGAGAAACTGCTGTTTTTGGATATCAAGAATGTAAAATATCATAACATGAGAGAACATTCTATATATTTTTAATGTTTTCCATGTGATGTGAATTTAACCAGAAATGCATTACCAGGAAAAAAAAAGAATAGATTTGGGGTGGAGGTGAAATGCCCTGGGAAGATTAGATTTTAGAGACTTCCACCGAATAGGTAATAACGTAACATGACATAACGTAACACAACATAACATGATTAAAATGAACTATGATTGACTGTGCAAGTGGGCTAGAGAAAGTCATTTAAAGGAAAATACTTTTAAAACAAATATTTGGCTAAATAACAGCTCTGATAAATGGGTAACAATTATGTAAGCACATGGTAGAATTTGACATATGTCAGGTCTGTTAAGTAGATGAACCTGTTCAGTGAATAAATCTTCCATGCATCAGGGCTTGTTAATGCATGTGCACGTGCACGCACGCACACACACACACACACACAAACACAGGCGGGTGCATGTGCGTGCACGCACACAAGGAAGCTTATAACACCCTGTTGCCGGAAGTCAAACAAGTGCAGAACACTGCCGTTTTCTCTCTGTTTTATTTACTCAGTCTCTCTCTTTTTCTTCTTTCCAAAGTCTTCTGATTAACTGTGAACTACCCTGTGAGCAGAGAGAACTAAAGATAAGATACCGTGGTATTGCCTGTGTTTAGGAGGTAGGAGAAGAGAGACCAGAAAAGTGATTAGTGCTGGAAGCACTCAAAGATGTGCTCATGGATTTCTAACACAATCACTGTGAGGTCCTTATCTAATAGAAGTATTACTTAAACCAGAGAGACCAACCCAACAGAAGAAGCATCTATTGCACTTTCTATTCCTAAATCTAGTTCTAGTGAATACCTGTTTCCCCTTCCAAATCCCTTAGGAGGGAAAAGGAGATTCTAATTAGCCTTTAACTGTTACGTTGTCTTTAAACTTATTTATCTGGGGCACATACATGTCGTAAGTGTTCCCTCTTGTAGTAAGCAAAAGGAGAGAAGGACAAAAGTGAATGACAGGGATGGGAAATGATACAATAAGGAGTAGGTCGTCTGGCTTCCCTGTTTTTCTCATCTTAAAGATTTCGGGTTTGGAAAGTTTAATTTTTTCCCCATCAACTAGCTCCCTAATTAACAGTTTCTCTACTAAAAAGCACCTTTTCAAACCCAAGGTCATAGGGTTAGACATAAAGGGCTTGTGGGACTCTTCTTGCCACTTTTCCAAGGCTGCTTTGAAACAAAACAAAGGGCACTGGATGAATGCAAATCAATTCGGACTGCCTTTTAACTTCAGACCTTTTCTCTTAACCAGAAAATTTCATTGTAGGCAGAGGTGAACATGGCTCTCTTAAACAACACTAGCCTTGTATAACAGTAAGCACATCACAACCTTAAGGATATCTGCTCTGCGGTGGGGGTCAGCCCGGGGAGTGGAAGGTGCAGGGAAGCTGCCTTTTAGTGATGGTAATGCCTTTCCTGGGCCAGTTTTGTGTAAGGGCTGAGGACTCCCTTTGTCTCTCTTCCCTCCAGTCCCTCATTGACCATAGTGATTTGCAGCCCTCTGCTAGGGAATGTGCTCTTTTTGGCCTCTTTTTCTATAGATAAGCACTGTGACCTTGTCTTCTCTTCCCTTGTTCTCTGATGGAAAAATGGACTGAAGTCTTCCGGACCAATTGCTATGCACATACTCATAATTTTTCTAAAAAGAACTTCAATAGGTCATCTTATCCATCCCCAGTAAGATGGTTTTGATATAAACAATTATCTATTATTTTTTCAAACATCACCAAACCCCATATAAAAAGTTGCTTATCTCTCCCTCAGTAGCCCATTTCAAGTATTACATGGCTAGCCTAAGCAAGAAGTTGCTCAATGTTTAATCTGAGGGGGTGTAGAGGTTAGAGACCAAGATTATGCCATGGGCCTGACTGCTAGAGTAGTGCCAAGCAATCTTCTGTTGAGAACAGGCATAGAGATTCATTTTGTTTGGGGGATGTTAAATCATTTCCCCTGTGGAGGACTATAAGTGGTGTGGCCATATGTTGTGGTTTATTGTACCTGTTGTATCAGCATATTTGTTTCACCCTCAGAAGTATATACATTTGGACAAAAAATTCTCTGATTACCCTAACTATAAGCCACCTTTAAATTAAACTATGCTTCTTGACTTGGGAAGATGGATATATTTTTAAACTTGAGGGAATAATGAGCTTTGGAAATGTCATAGTCCCTCAACTGGCTAAGTTTATCCTTTTCCCAGCTAAGAAATCTTTCAAGAGGATAAGAACACCAGAAATGATCAGGCTTTGGGCTTGACAGACCTGGATTGTTGAACTCAAAGACATACCTCCAAAATGCAAAATGTACACACACACACACACACACACACACACACACACACACACAAAGAGGTGCTATCTGCATGCTGGAGAGTGGCTGTTCTTACTTTCATGAAAGACTGGTAATAGGTAATGAGTTTATAGAATATATGAGGAGGCATTTAAGTTTAGAAAGATCATCTTGACCATGGTAGTTGTAAGACAAAAGAGGGTGGTACCAATGGAAGTGTGAATTCTTTTTAGAATATATTTTGAGAAGTGCACAGGTAACTGTCTCTGTCCAGAATAGTTTGCATGTGGCCTTGCCAAATATATAACTATGTAAATAAAACATATACACATTTATAAATTTATATTACATATATTTCCATTGGCCCTATCTGTAAGTCACAAGATGAACTTTCAAACTGCCTTCCAGTCCTAAGTATTTGTGATTGTTTTTCATTGATTTATGGCAGGAATCAA